AAAAATCAAGCACTGAATCGACCACTGGATCGAGCACTGAATCGAGTAAAACAAATCGATCTAACAACTTAAAGTGATGACTTCTAATGAACAAGAACGCAACTTTATGATAAGAGAATGATGAACAGAGGCTTTAAAATGCTAAAAGAGGGTTTAGGGTCGAGGGTCATATTCAAGAGTGTCAAAGGTTTAAGCTTTGGTTTGAAAGCATATAGATTTACTCATTTATGAGCTTTCTCTAAGCCTTGAAAACAAAACAAGAACCATCCATGGCGTGTGGTATGATTCACTTCCTCAATCTCTTCTCCAAACCCATTGCGTTTGGTGGAAAAAGAGATCAAGGAGCAAGGAAAACAGATTTCAACTAATAGCGTAACTAACCTCCTCTACAACCATGGCGTTTGGGAGAGGAAAGATTAGTCTCTAGGATCTGGTTTTCTAGGACATCTGAATCCGGTCAGGGTAAGATAGCCTTGGAATCATAGAGATCTTTTCCAAGACTCTCTAAAAGACCCCAAGATCCTAGAAGAGAAAGAATGAAGAACAAGAAAAACACAAAACTTAAACCTCTTAAACCCTTTGAATCACCTCAACCCCAAATCCCAAAAAGAACTACTTGCTACTCATGATAGAAACCGAACAAAATGCAAAGAAAGATAAACTAAACATGATTAAGCGATTGATTAAATGAAAAAGACTTAATATTCAAGGATTCAAAAGTTTAAAATCAAAAGAAAAGCTTAGAAGTTCCACAATGGCTAATCGCCTCTGAAAAAGCATAAAAAGATAAGTCTGAAAGTTGTTGATGAAAAGGATGGCTGCCCTTTGCCAAAAATAACCAAACCGCCAACTGATCCCCCCTTCGCTATGGTCCAAAGCTGAGCTGGCCGGATAAGGTCCCAGAGATGGATTTGGTCACTCGATCTCTTGCTCGATCTTCTGATGATTGGGTCGTGGACTCGATCTCGCCTGTCGATCTGCATGGCGTCATCTACGTTCGTACTCTCGATCGATCTCCTCGCTCGATCTCATTCTCGATCTCTTCCTGAAACGATTCGAGCTTAGTCAATCTTCTGGTCGATCTCGTCTAGATCGACCTGCCTTGCTCGATCTGCTACTTGATCTCGGGTCCTTGGCATGCATGGCTGAGCTCTCCAAGTGTCCATAAGCTCCATTTTGATCCTCCTCACGTCTACATAACCCCCACAACTCCAGAATGCTCCAAACAACCTGATAATGATGCAAAAGTGCAAGAAATATGCAAAATGTGAATGCAAAGGGACCTAGGACCTAAAATGCAACGAATGGAACAAACTAGCCTATAATGCAAGATGAATGCATGAAAAACTATCCTAAATGCATGCAAATTATGCAAAATATAAGGTAATATCACACACCTCTCTCTACACGAAGTAGCAAGCAAGGAGAAGGGCAAGGCGATCTCTCACGTCGCCCCTGGAAAGAGCAAGAAGTCTGGAGCATCCTCAAGCTCCAGCCGTGCCTAGCTCCAAGGTACCAACACACAACCTTGTAAATATCATGCATCTCTTTCATTTTTTTTTGCTTTGTGTTTTGTCTCCTCTTGAATTTGTTTGACACCGAGACGGTGTCATTCAAGTTTGGGGGAGAGTGTGTGTTATTTGACATGTTTTCTTTGATCTTATTTTGTGTTATCATCCCTTGAGTCATCATGCATCCTGTAAGGCATAGAAAAGAACAAAAAAATCATAAAATTTCTAAAATTTTCAAAAAAAATTCATGTAGCTTGCATTTGAATTGTTAAACATTTTAGGATTGAGTCTAGAATTTTAAGCATTTAGGTTGTTTGCATTTGCATAAGGGGCAAAAGTTTTTCTTGAAAAGTGTTTTAAGCTGATGAATTGTTTCAAGGCCCTAGTTAGTAGTTATTTGATGCATTGTTCACACTTTGAAAGTAAGCTCTAACTATATTTGGATCATTTGTTTTGATTATTTGTGGCTTAAGTTGAACATTCATAAATTAAATATTTTCCTATCAAGTGAGAACCTTAATTTGAATCTTTTGAATTATCATACTTATGCATTTGAAAAAGGATACATGGATCACATATACATATTCAGGCTTTCTTACTCCCTTTCACCACTCTCTTGTAAGCCTGAGTAGACTTCCCACCTTGACCCTTACCCTCCTTTCAAGCCAATTTTCTTGTGTGACATCTTTGTGAGGCCTTATTTTTGGTTTGAACTTGGCATAAAGTGTTAGGTTTAGGCGACATGATTAGGCTTTCATATTGACGCTAGCTTTGCATTTTGAAGCTAGTTTTAGGCTAAGTTTGGGGGTGGGGATTCATGGCAGTTGTTTTGCTTTGGTTTCGGTTTGAAAATATTTTTTGTGTTTGGGGTTTGAACAAAAGGGAAATGAATGGTTTTAAGTGGTAGGCCTTGTGTTTAAAAATGAATGATCTTGTTTAAAAAGAAGGTAGCTCTCAAAGAAAAGAAAAAATAAAAAAGAGAAGAGAGCTACCAAAAGTATTTAAAAGAGCTCAATATGTTTTTGGCCTTGCCACTAGCCTCAAAAAGGGTTTTAAAATGATGTTTTTATTTGGGTTTTACTTGGCGCCTTGCCTTGTTGATGTGGGTAGTCTTTAGGAGGGTGAGTGAGCTTAAAAAGAAAAGAAAAAAATAAGAGAGGGATTAGGATCTGCTAGTGTATATGGGTAGATGAGAGTCTAGTCATGTATGCATCAATTGTCTTTACCTTTAGCATTATGCATATGTTCAACATTCTTTGAGAGAACCCATTGCTTGATTTACCCTTATGAATGAGATCATTTTTATCTCATGACCTTGTCCCAAGCCAAATGTATTCGGTTTTAAAGTGCAAAAGTGTGATTCACGATTTGATCTTAATGAATGTTAAAGGTTAGGATTCTTGGATTGTTTGGGATATGAGAGTCATGATTTGAGATTCAACATGTGATGAATATGGCTAAGTTCTTTGGAGTATGAGTGTGTGCATTGCATCTTAGGATTAAGAACTAGGACCATTGAATTGATTCATTTGAAAAACACTTTTGCAAGGAGTTTGAGCCCCCGTTTTTAAAACCTCTCTTCCTTTCTTGAATTTTGTTTGCTTGAGGGCAAGCAAAAGGCAAGTTTGGGGGAGTTGATATACTCATATATTTAGCATATTTAGCATGCATTTAGTGTAGTTTTCATGCATTCATCTTGCATAATAGGCTAGTTTGCACCATTTTAGGTCCTAGAGCACTTTTGCATTAGCATTTGCATGTTTCTTGCATTCTTGCATCATATTCAGGTTGTTTTGGACACATTGGAGCTGTGGAGAGTTCGTGGACATGCTAAGGATCAAAGAGGAGCTCGTGGACACTTAGGAGAAATCAGCCTTGCTACAATGGAACCGAGATCGAGAAGTAGATCGAGCTAGGCAGGTCGATCTAGATGAGATCGACCAAGCCTGGATCTTTTCAAGGAAGAGATCGAGGACAAGCTCGATCGAGGTGATCGATCGTGAGTACGGACGTGGATTAAAGCCATGCAGAACGAGAGCCAGATCGAGACCCACGACACGATCAACCGAGAATCAACCCGAAGATCGAGCGAAGGAGGATGATCCATGAAGAAGATCGAGTGATCAGATCGACTACTCAGCTCGATCCCTACACCTTATCCGGCCAGCTCACTTTTGGACTTTAGTGAGGGGACCATTTCTCTTGTTGGCCTATTTTGGGCAAATTTGTATGAACCATTCATTTTGTCTCGTATTACTTTTAGCTTTTCTTACTCTCGAAGTTGAATAGCCATTGTTATCTCTTTTCAAGCTTTTCTTGTTTTGAACCGTTGAATCTAGTTTAATCATTGAGTATTCGCTTAATCTTTCTTCTTTAATCATGTTTAGCTTTTCATCCTTCGCATTTCCGTCGGTTTTAATCATGAGTAGCGAGTAGATTCTCTTTGGGTTTAAGGTTGGGGCGATTTAAGGGGTTTAAAGGTTTAAGCTTTGGTCTTTTCCTTGTTCTTAATCTTTTCTCTTCTTGGATTTGGGGTCTTAATGCTTAGGGAGTCTTGGAAAAGATCTCTATGATTCCAGGGCTTTCTTACCTTGACCGGATTCAGAAATCCCTTAAAGCCAAATCCAAAAGACTAGCCCATCCTTTCCCAAACGCCATGGATGCTTAGGGAGCTAGTTAGGCCAGTATTTGAGATCTTTATTTAATGTTCTTTGACCCATCTTTCCACTATACGCCATAGGTTAGGAGGAAGGGCCAAAGAAAGGGGTCATACCATACGCCATGGATGATCCTAGCTTAAGTTTATCAAGGCTTAGAGTTAGCTCATCAAATGAGTAGATCTATTGTTTTCAAACCCAAAGCTTGAACCTTTAACCCTCTTGAATATGACCCTCAATCTTAGATCCTCTTTTAGCATTTTTAAACCTCAAGTTATCATCTTTTAGTTATAAATTTTGCATCTTCATTCCTTTAAAGTCATTGCTTTAAGTTGCTGGATCTCGATTTTTAGTAATTAGTAGTTTTGCTTTTTAAATTCTCAGTTTTCTTCTAGTAGTTGTTAACCCTCTTTCAGGGATTTTAGAATAGTTTTCTTGTTTATTTCGCATTGCATTTAGTTTTTGTAGAATTTCTCCCTCATTTACCCGAATCTGCTTAGCTTTGCATTGCTCTTGCATTTTTAGTGTCTTTCTACAACTTAGTCTGGATTGATACCTCTTGCACCTATACTACATCATTAACAGTGCATTTGGCTTTGACAAAACAGTTCCAAAACATTCTGTTTATCAATTTTCAGATTCAAACAACACAAACTCTGAACCAGTGGTAGCTGGGGAAGAAGTTGCATCTGTACCTATAGTACATGAGTTTCGAATACTCCACCCATCTCGAACAAATGGAGCTAAATGGTATTGTTTCTTTTTTTGAATATCCAATACAAGATAAAAAAAATATATAAATGTAAATAATTTACTTTCACATACAACAGGTTCAAAAACAACACTGAAGTATCAACTTCTGTTCGAAAGATCATTGAAGGCTGTTTTAAAATACCATGGTACAGCTGGGGTAAAGTACCAAAAGATTATAAAGACACATGATTTTCAACATTCAAGTTATGTTTTAATGTTATAATATATATATTAAATTTTTGATTTTGTTCTTAATCGTTTGGTTTATTGCGTATGTAGAAAAGTTTTGAGTGGGACGTGATGTGGACATCAAATCAACATCAGTAATGAGCAAGGAATCAGGAGACATGGAGAAGAGAGTATGAAGCTGAAGAAAGCTAAGGAGGCATACGAGTTGAGTTTAGCTCAAAGGGAGGCCAAGATCAAATTTTCTAACTCAACAGATATATGGAGAGTATAATCAACTCATCTAGAGTTTACCACAAAGAAGAATTATCCAAAAAGGAGTCCATATGAAGAAGTTATTGAAGATACAATTTGGCAGATCTTCAATGAACTCGATGGAGACATACGATCACTTATCGATTCATTCCGGCCAAATCAGGATGATCCAAGCAACAAATCCAACTGCTTTGGATTCTCAACTCAACATAGGTTCGCCACAAATTTTACTTAGTCCAAACAGAGTTCATACAAAGGAGATATTCAAGCTCAAAGTCGGATGAACCGGAATATTCTTCAATTGGACATGCAAGCGATTATTGGAGGATTCAGACCAGAAAGAAAGACTTAAGCTATAAACCGACTTGGTATGTACCCTTGACTCATACGTGGAGCTCATCAAATTGGATTCATGCGAATATCGATTTGTTTTTTAGAGTTATTCAGTTTCTAAACCGAAGGATCTTTCACTTGTCTTATTTAGAGCCTTCCGAGTTTGAGAGATTGCAAACATATCTTTGGCGACCAAGAGACGATATCAACAATTTAGAAGCTTCAAGATACGTCCTTAGCTGCACCATCAACCAAAGGATCAGGCGGATCCTACCTTGGCCATTCATACTTTAACACTTTCCATATCCGGCTTCAAGAGCATTCACACTTGGAGCAATCAATGTCCAACGGCTCTTTCTCGTCATGATCCGAGACAAGTACGACTTTGGAAGATTATTCACCATCAAGAGACCCTCTTTACATGGATATATTATCCAGCTCTCAAGATACAAGTCATCCCCCAAGGTGTCTAGATACAAAGCTCAAGACACGTCCTTATTTGGCCTGATTTTGTCATCAAATCCCCAACAGCCATATTCTTTAATTTTTTTGTTTCTTTTCTTGTTTTAACTTCTTAGAACCATTGTATATGAGCCTATAAAAGCTAAATTTCGTTTTAATTGTAAATCATCTTTTATCATTGAATCAAATAAACTTTAAAGCTTTCTATTACAAAGTGTTATCTTTGTGTTCTTCATTTGAATCTTAGTGTGTGGAATCACCTAAGTTCGAATTTGTTCAGAATCAGAGATCCCCTCACAATTTTTGTGGTGATTTCGATCCATCTAGTTCAGCATTGCTTGTGAATCAAGCCTTTCTGGTCTAACTACTGCTTGTGGAATCAAACAGCAACCTTTCACCCTCATTTCTACCTTCACTCATCATTCATCAAGCTGAAAGTCTTGAGACCTTGTGTCATAAGAAGAGGTGGATTCCGAATCCTATATCAGGATGCCTCAATCAACAATCTAGTTAAAGACAACTTTGAAAAACTTGCTGGCTTTTCAAAGTCTAAAGAAGAAAAACCAGATCTGTCTACTCACTGGAGAGTTATGTTAGACTATTGGATAACACCAACAGCCAAAGGAAAAAGGAAAAAGTGCAAAAGCTCGTTCTTCCCAGCTTTCTAATCGTAATGGTTTAGGGGCACATTGCCATAGAGCTGGCTCACGTTCTTATACCAAAGTTTAAAATGTTTTGGTAATGTTTATACCATAGAGCTGGCTCACGCTCTTGTACCTAAATAAGATAGATTTGTAACAAAAATTTGGCAAGTAAATGTGACATAAGTGAGATGACATAACAGTAGCTAATTAAGACAAAATTGTAACAAAAATTATGTAAAGAATTCTAACAAAGTTTAGACAAAAAATTCAATGACTAAATAAGATGAAATTGTGACGAAATTTAAGTGATAAGGTGTGACATTATTAAGACACTCAAATAGTTGCAAAGTAATAAGGATTAGTGACGATCTATTAGTCCCCAAATGTGACAGTTTAAAACCATGTCTTCGTCGTAAAGAATGACAAAACTAAAACATTATGATAGTCACAAAATACAACGAATTTGTGTTGTTATAAGTAGTTGGTAAATGTGTCAGTTTTGTTACCTTTTTAAGTGTCACAATTTGTACAAAGGAGTTGCTTGTGACGTTTTTGTTAAAAAAAAAATCGTAACGATCATATTGCAACTGTTTCTCGATAGTCACATATTCGTCACAATGTTTTTATTGTGACGGAATATATTTTATTGTGGCGAAAAAGTTTGTCACAATGTGATTTCCCTAATGTCGGAAGAGTAGAAATAGTATTCAGTCAGTTTAATTTCGTCAACACTTTGGAGTGACTGCAAGGTGTTAAAGCTTACTAATAATATGTGATTTATATCTAGAGACAATAGTAAGAAGATGCTTATCCTTGCAAAATTCTCACGATGGATATTATATATTATTGATGGAAAGATAAATGTGCATAGTCTTGGGGAATTGGAGATTGACATTCCAGAAGATTTGTTAATCATGGATTTAAAAAATCATATTCAAGCAATTGTTACAGAGATTTATGAGCTAACGTTTGGTGGGAAGATATATCCTATTTTCTATCAAGAAATAGCTATATTGAATCCAATGTATGATGATATTAAAGTAATAAATAACTACATGTTATCGCAGTTACTAGGTAAATGTTTACTATATACAGTTTTAAAACTATTTTACCGCATGGTGTTAAACATTTAATATATATACATATATATATGTTAACAATTATGTTAAAATTATCGAGTGTGGAGAGGGTTTACTTAAGTTGTGGTACAACACAACTGATCGAGAGCTTGATAGTAAAGATGCATCTGACCCACCATCGCTAGATTCAGAGTCTTCTTATGAAAAAATTTCTGGTAATATGATTTATACTAATGAATTCTTGAATTTTATCAAAGTGTAAGGGTTGCCTAACCATCAGATGCATTTGAAAGTTGGTACACCATAAAGCTACCTAGAAATATTTATCCTAAGAATAGTTTGTGCAATGGAACTAAACTGCTTATTACTCAGATGGCTAATTTTTTTATTGAGGCTAAAGTCATAATTGATTATAAGGTTGGACAAAAGGTACTCATACCTCGAATTTTTACGTCTCTAACAGAAACAAAGCTTCCTTTCAGGATGAGACGTAAGCACTACCCAATAACTTTAGCTTTTGCAATGATGATAAACAAGAGTTAAGGTCAAACACTTACAAAAGTGGAAGTTTTTGTTTTGCCAAAATGGGTATTTACACAAGTACATTTATATATAGCAGTCTCAAGAGTAACATCCAGGACAAGTTTGAAGATTTTAATAACAGATCAAGATAACAAACCACAACAGAAAACTCTGAATATTGTCTATGAAGATGTGTTTCAGAATATTTAGATAATTATCATGAATGACATAGATTTAAATTTATGTTCAATGATATCATATTTCTCATTTTTATTTTTGGGTGTTTTTGTTTTCCTACCTGCTTTTTGAATATAATTTAATATATGCTTTAAAATATTGCTATTTTTAACTATTGAGTACTCTTTTGTCTGATATAAATCGTTTAGTAATATTTAGTTCAATATAGTAAAAATATAAGTTTATTTTATAATAATATATTAAAACGTATATTAATTTTGCATTATATTTATGAAAAAGACTAATATTTTAATATTTATTCTACTTTATATTAATGGATGTCATTTTATAGTTTCCTATTTGAAATTTTGGATCATGTTTATAGTTTTTTTTATCTATATTTTAAATCATAATTATTGTAAATCTTAATTATATTATATATATTAAATTTAAGAATATACATGTAACCTACGGATGGCGCGGATACAAACCTAATATATACACTACACGATCATTATATGCTTAACCTAAACGTAATGACAATAAACCGATATACAAGGCCCAATACGCCCAATATATATATTTTTGTGGATGCTACTATTTTAAACGCACTTGATGATAGTCACAACTACCAGAATCATTGATCAATTGCAGTGATATGCAATTTCTGAATCTGGGAAACAACATAATGAAGGAAAGATTCCATTTTGGTTGAGTTATTTATTATTGTTAAATGTCCTAACTCTCAGATCAAATGAATTCTATGGGTCGTTGTATAATCATCGATATATCACGTAATGATTTCACTAGAAGCTAGCTGTTTCCTTATTTTCACAATTGGTTTGCACCGTCCATTTCGAATGAAGAATTTGACGACTTTACGTCGTTTGATAATATGACATGGATATTTTGTGAATTTTAAAATCTACAATAATTCAATGAAAATGGTGGTGAATAAAGTACATATAAAATTTCAGTGAATCCACAAAGACTACAAAGCCATAGATTTTTCTGAAGACATTCCCAAATCAGGTTGTTTGTTGAAGGGATTGCATCTTCTCAATTTGTCAAATAATACATCCAACGGGCAACATTCCTTAATCATTGGCAAATTTGACAAATCTTGAGACATTAGACGTTTCTTATAATCAATTGTCAGGTCGGATTCCTCGAATTTTTGCTAGCTCTCTTCTCTGTCCTATATAAACTTTTCCCATAATCTTCTTGAGGGTCCAATACCACGAGGCACACAATTTCAAAGCCGAGATTGTTTTTCTTTCATGAACAAACATAGACTATGGTCTCAAAGAAATGTGGGAAAATTCATTTCCCGAATCATGCAACATTCAGAGGAACTGTCGGAGCCAGAACAACAAATGATTTAATTGAGTAGCAGCGACAATAGCCTATGTACCTACTAGTCTTGGACATTCGGGTCCTGGAGTCGGGTTGGGTCGGGTCGCTCGGGTTTTCGGATAGTTCGGGTAGATGGGTATAGGACCCATTTAGGATCCAAGTAAAATTCGGTTCGGGTCAGGTCGGATTTTACAAAAAATTTGGTACCTAATAAGACCCGATAACCATTCCTTTTTACCCGAAACAACTATCTTGGACCCAATAGATCCGAATTAGACCTGAATTAGACTCGAAAATGTGAACCAAAATCAAAATTAGAGATGGTAGACTATTCGCCATTCTCAGAGTTGTGTAGATCCAGTTGTAATTAGGGTCAGAAATGTGGTTAGGGTGTATTCTGGACGACAACGAGGAGAATACAGAGGTAGAGGAGAAGAATGAGAGAGCGAGAGTAGGAGAGAAGGAGAACCATAAAATAAAGAGAAAGAGATAAGGAGATTCAGAGAAGAGATGAGGAGGAAAACAATAACAGAGAGTGAAAAGCAGGGTCAATTGCTGAAATGCAATAATTTGGAGAAAAGAGATCTCATATGACATCTTATGTTTCATAATTTCTTTTTGATTTTCTTTTTAAAACAAAAAGCAGGAAATACCTTATAAACCCTTAATATATTAGAAAAATTACATAACCCAACCAAAATAATCCACCCAAACCCACTAACCCGAACAAAAAATGGATCACAAAATGAATTTCTAAATTTTTCAATTTATTCTTTTTTTCTTTCGTAGTCTTCTTCACCTGAGTAAGAGAGAGAAATTTTTCACTTTTATTAATTCCAAAAGGTGATGCTGCCAATCTAGATCAAAAATTTATGTTTGATTCATTTTGTTTTAGTAAAAAGGATGCTAAGTTTGGTCTCCATGAATCGATGAAAAGGTAAAAACTGTGTTATGTGATCTAAGATTTGAATTTGTTTCCAGAAGGATGGTGATTTCAATTTCCAAATCGAAATTGGAGGATTCCAAATAGAAATCAGGTGCTGCATCTGCTGATGGGGTCTCTGTTCCATTTTCAGTGCAAAAGTTTCGATAGTGTACTCTATTTACTACAGTCTGAAGTGTCTGATTCATAGGCTCTCGTCTGCTGGTGATGCTTCTTCTCCCTCCATGGCTCAATCTCTCTCTCTTTCTCTCCAACAGTACCAACCTTCAATCCCTAGATCTATCCACAAATCAGATCTCCGAAGAGATACCGCCGAAATTCAGTTTTTCGTTAACCTCGCCATGCTCAATGTCTCGTCTGATCGACTCTCCCGTGAAAACTCTCAGCAGCTCGCACTTTGCGCTTATCTCAACATCATCGATCTTCACGATAACCAACTCTCCGGTACAATTCTGCAGCAGCTCGGGCTTTTGGCGAGATTATCGGCGTTTGATGTGTCGAACAACAAACTCTCTGGCCTGATTCCAACGTATTCGTCGAACAGGATTGGGAATTTCCTGAGGTTTAACGTGAGCTTGTTCATGGGCAATAGAGGATTGTACGGCTTTCCGTTGCACGAGATAATGAAGAACAAAGGGTTATCGGTGATTGCGATCGTTGGGATTGGGCTTGGATGTGGAATCGCGACCTTGATGATTACCTTCACTGGTGTTTGTATTTGGTTGAGGATCACTGAGAAGAAGATTGCTGAAGAAGAAGGCAAGATTAGTCAATCAATGCATGATTACTAAACTTGATTTCAATTAAGGATTTTGCAACTAATATGCAAAGCTTTGATTTGGATTTTTCACATTTGTAATGTAAGATCACAATGGCTGAGATTTTTGTTGGCTAAATAATTGCAATGTAATTGATAGAATCACATTCAACAAGTTTCTGTGTAG